GGGGGGGAGGCAGTTTTCAGAGGAGATTGGGGGGAGAAAGGAAGCTAGAGAAAACTTTGTACAAAGACATTCGGCATTTCTGCTCCGACAGTCAGTGAACCGCCCGGCCGGGTTAAAGGCGTCTCTGGGGCAGGTCCCAATGGAACGCGCCGCCCGGAAGCCTAATGGCAAGTCCCTGCTGGCACCGAGCCCGCGGCCCTGCGCAGCGCAGCCCGAGCATTCCAACAGAACAAGGCGGGATCCATTGCTCTGCGCTCGCCCCTAAAGAACCTCAGTCGACCGCCGAGTCGCCGGATGCTGGAGGACGAGAGGGGGACCGAGGCTGGTCCTCGCGACAGTAGCGACGGCAGCGGCAGCTGCGCGTGCGCAGCAGTCTGCGTATGCGTGTGTCCCTCTCCCCTCGCGGTACCGTGAGTCGGGGGAGACTCCACACATGCGCACTCTCTCGCGGAAGGAAGGGGGCGGTCCTGGACCATGATCCCCACCCCGCGGCACCAGCACGTGGGCTCGCACGGGCCCTTCAGCGACGTGTACGAGCCGGCCGAGGACACCTACCTGCTGCTGGACGCGCTGGAGCGGGACGCGGCCCAGATCAGAGAGGCAGGGTGCGAGCTGGGGGGAGGGAAAGAACCAGCGAGAGGCCGGTCAGCAGCCAATGGGAGCAGCCGCTGGTGGGGGGGGTGGGAGGAGTCAGGGGGCGCCGTGAGCACGTGCAGGGGGCGGGGACAGGCGGTGGCTGCTGGGGGGCGGGGTCTTTGGGGGTGGGGGCGGGGCTATTGGCTGGCTCTCCCTTGGTACTAGGGTGACCAGCTGTCCTGATTTTACAGGGACAGTCCTGATTTTTGGGTCTTTTTCTTATATAGGCTCCTATTACCCCCCCCCCCGTCCTGATTGTTCACACTTGCTGTCTGGTCACCCTAGTTGGTACAATCCTGGCGCGGGCGACAGCAAAACTCCCACCGGCTTCACCAGAGCCGGGATTTCACCCACCGGCTGCTGCCGTCGCCTGGGCGAAATGTCCCCCCTTCGCGTCCTTGCGCCGGGATCCGCCTCTGCCTCGCATCCCATCAGCGCCTGCGCCATCGACCCCTGCGTGTGCCCTGGCCGGAGACATCCCACGTGCTGGGCGGTGAGCGCGGCGCTGTGTGAGCCTCGGATGAAGAATCCCAGAAGGACCCAGCCGCAGTGCTAGTGGGTGCTGTCCTGCTGCGGCAGAGTCGTGCTGTAGTACACAACGGCCAGCTGGAGTGAAGATTGGTTTATCCACAGCTAGGTCTGCTGCAGTGGCAGAAAAAGAAGAGGATCGGATTGCCCTGGTTAGGGTGACCCGCCTTTTCAAAATGCAAAACTGGGACACACGCAGAAGCCCTGAGCCTCCTCTTCCCCTGAGACACCCCCCCCCCCCCCCCAGGCCATGCCAGAGCCCAGTGCGGGTAAGAGCCCTCCAGGGAGCCTGGGCTGCGGTGGGGAGCCCTGGACCCTCCACCTGTCCTCGGTGGGGGCTGGGGTACCCAAAAGCAGTCCTTGGCCTGTGTCCCTGCCCCCACTGTGGTGCACTACCAAGGGCAGGTGGAGGGTCCAGGGCTCCCCACAGCAGACTAGGCTTCCAGGATAGCTCTTACTACAGCCTGGCCAGGGCCTCAGGGGAAAGAGGAGGAGCAGGGGGTGGGGCCTTGTGAGTGGGGGGCTAAGGCCCACTTGAGAGACACCCACACACACATACTGGAAAGAGGCTGGTGCTGCCCCGAGCCTTGGGCAGGCACAGAGTGATGTCACAGGGAACCCAGGATAAATGTTGTCCGGGAGTAATTTAGCCTGGCACTGGGACTTGAAATTTACATTTGGGGACTGTCCCGCTCAATTTGGGATGGGTGGTCACCCTGCTCATAGCTCCAAGTAGTTTCAGTAAATAATGTAAACATGTGCCAGGTTTCAGATTACTGTGTGGTAACTTAGTCTTTGGCGTGATGGTCAGTTTTTCCAGGAATGATGTGCCCCAAACATCATTAAACCAGTTTTACTCTGAGGAGTGGAATGTTTTTAATTTATTGGAATATAGAATCGGCTAGAACTTGGTTCTGTGTTGCTCCTTTTCATACTCAAAATATCTCAAAGTAAAGTGCATTGCAAATATAATTTAAGTTGAATGGGATCCATACAATGAAATAATCTTGTTGCTTGTCTTGAAATTTCTATTATTTATACATGTCCAGAGCCAGCTCAAACAAATATGGACCCTTTAGAATAGTCACTGGGATATGTCTACACTGCAGCTGGGAGTGAGCCTCTGGACTCAGGCTAGTGGAGCTTGAGCTAGTGCACTAAAAATAACATGGACATTGCACCTTGGGCAGCAGCTTGTGCTCTCAAGCCCACCTGATCCCCTAGATCTGAGCTTGGGTGGCTAGCCTGAGTCTCCACGGGAACCACAACATCCACACTGCTATTTTTACAGTGCTCACTTGAGCCCAGCTAGTGCAAGTTTGTCACCAAGTGCATTGTGTAGACATATCCTTGGGATCCCAGTTTCAGTGTGACCTGCTCCAAACTCTTATGCTGTGGCTGCTTGGTGGAGGAGGTGGAGATGTGTCTAGAACTGTTGTTTTTGTGTTGTCAATGGATGCTTCCTGTTAACAGAGGGAAGGAAACCTACAATGTCCCCCAGCGGGGGCTGTGATAAGTAGGAAATATTTTGATTCCCCAGGGGACACAAGTTCTCACCAGAGAGCTGTCAGTCAGCACAGCGCAGATCATATGGCACACCACTCATCTTGAGCTTGAGGGCAATATGACCAGTAAACTTCATTATTAGTGGGGTCTCCAGTGGCTGCAGGTTTGACAGCATTGCCTGATTCAGGCCTGCATATGTCGGTCCTAGATACTCTTGTGAAGCGGGTATTTTAATCACTTTGTACTAATTATTTTTATTTAAATTTAGAGTTGAGATCTCCCTTGAAGTAGGAGCTGGATCAGGTGTGGTTTCAACATTTCTGGCTTCCATTGTTGGACCCAGTGCATTGTACATGTAAGTATTATACTACCTTTTTTTAGATTGTTGCAGCTAATAATATAAGAATACTTTGCTCTTACAATATATAGTGCTTTTCATTTCAAAATGTTTTACAGTCACCAACTATGTAGAGAAGTATTATCTCCATTTTACAAATGGATTTCTAAAGACATGTAGATTCCTATCCCTCATTGATTTCAGTGAGAGGTTAGACACCTAAATAGCTTAGAAAATCTGGCCCTAAATTTCTTGCTCAAGACCACCTATTGGTTTGGTAGTAGAGCCAGGACTAGAGTTCTGAAATTCCTTCTTCCCAGCTTGAGCTCAATCTGTAGTCATGTTGTCTCTACCATGTTTACTCATAACTTGATCCTGCAAACACTTGTCTAACTTTACTCATGTGAGTTGTTCTGTTGAGCTGAGTGGGAATACTCACATGTGTAACATTAAGCAAATGCACAAGAGTTTGCAGTGCTGGGCCTCACTGAGTAACTATTATGCAATGCCATAGTTGGAAAGGCAGTCTCATTATAAACACTTGTTTTCACAGACAAAATCAGTTTAGGCTGAATTTCTAATGTCTGTTCTGAGCCCAAATTTTGTTTGAAAGTCTGGTAAAATTCTCTTGGCCTTTTATGAGTTATCTGAGCACAAAATGTAGAACACTTTGATATTATAGTATGTTGCATTGCTTGAGAAATAGTATGTGATAATTTAATTCAAGACCATTGTAATGCATCCACAGATGAGGACAAAGTTATAGTTATGTCTGAGCATGCAACCTTAACTTTAGCATTTCCTTAACTTTTGAGTACTTAGGCAACCTTAAAGTTTCCTTAGCATAGTGTTATTGTATGAAATTTCATACATGTTATAGTCACAGTATGAGTAACAAGAATTGTATGTTCTTTTCAAAGCTTGGATGATGATTATTTAGTAAGGCTATGTGTACACTGCAAGATAGGGGTGAAAACAGTGGGTATGTACTCAGCATAGCTCAGCCGTACCTCTGCTGCTACCGCTACCGCAGTTATGCTGCTATTTATACTTGTGCTAACTGTATGAGAGCTAGTGTGAGTATGTGTGCGTGAGCAGGGGAATCACATTCATTCATACACAAGACTTGACGTCACAGCACATAATAGCATTCACATTCTTACGTTCATTTTTTAAGTATATCTTGTAATGTTGATGTGACATTAATGTTTTGCTTTCAGATGTACAGATATCAATCCTATAGCAGCTTCTTGTACCTTGGAGACAGCTGTACTTAACAAAGTTCACATTCACCCAGTAATTACTGACTTGGTAAGATACAAGTTCCTATAACTGGACCTTCTGATAGTTTTGCAATTCTTACAATGTACAGTGGGAGGTTTGCCTGTAACTATTCAGGTACTGTCCCTTCACGCTGAAAGAAAGACAAGGGGCAATGGATGTGTTTTAATTAGGCCACAGTTTTATTCAGTTAACATATCTGGGATTACCCAACAATAAATTGTACAGCAGGTCATCATTATTTACTTAATTGTTTCCTCCTACTCGGGAGGGCTGCTGTCAGTCCTCCCCCTTTCTCAACCTGGTCCTAGCTAGCCTGTTGCTGGGATCCCATTACCCTCCCCTCGTATGAGGGGTTAAGGGGGGTGGAAAACAGGGAATGGATTGGCTCCCTGCTGTACCTCATGTTAGGAGCCCCAGCCTTCCTTCCCCAGCTACCTTAGGGGATGCTTTCCTCTAAATCCACTTCCAAATCCATTTAATCCGAGAACCATATTCCCTCTGTAACGAGCACTGGACACATCTGTTACTAAGTGGTGACATTTTGACTTAACTTCCTCGCCTACCCCACTGGGTCCCTTATCTGCTGTGGAGAAGATGAAAAAACCTGCCCCACCTCGTCCAATCTGGTGGTGAGGAGAAAATTCCTTTCCAGCTCCAGAAGAAGAAGTTGAGTAGAGTCATGCTCACAGCAGATCATGAAGAAACCAAGTCCTACTCGGAGCCCATCACTGGGAGGGTGGGTGTTGCCAGCCTGATTGCAGTGAGAGTATGTTTCTCTGGAACTGTTCAGGGTATAGTTGCCCCCTGGCACACGAAAGGACAGTGTTCCCCTTCTAACCTGGTTCAGCCACTTCCTGTTGTTCCCTGCTCTGTCCTGATAAATTTCCCCTTCCTCCCCACTCTGCCACCCTGTTGCAAAGGGGGCCCAAATAGGGGCAAGAACCCTTCCAGCCAGCCAGACAAAGAACCCAGTGCACTCAGGTGCAATTTACTGCCATATGTTAGTAAGGTACAACAGTCTTTTATGCCACAATATATAAGTATTTGTTTTATTAAATTTGTAAAGTACTCTGGTGGATGGCAGTAGCTTAGACACTGTTGCAAGCTTACAGAAAACTAAGTAAAAACTGATCACAGCGTTCACTGTTCTCTCAAAAACTCATGCAAAAAAAAACCAAATAGAAAGGCTGATGAAAAGAGAGGGACAAAACAGCTGATAAGGGACCAAACTGAATCTGAAAAGAAAATATACTTCAAATGAGACTCTAAATCAGTACAAATATAGAGCAAATACTATATAATCAGGGAATGGATTTGAAACTGTGAACACCTGGAGCTTTCTTATTAATGTTGTACCCATAACAGTAATGCTTTGTCAATGCACAAGTCTAAATGTTTTTTTGTTATAAATTCTGTTTGCTAATGATTTAAAAACAAACAAACTTCCAAGCAGTGCCTTATGGGAAACTAAGTTTCATCTTTTCCTCAGTAAGCTCTTTTAATTTGTAAAAAATGTTGAGAATTTAAATTTAATGAAAGGTGACAGATTGCCCATAATTAGAAACAGCTGAAATAAATGAACACTTTATTTGGGAATTGGACTGTACACAGAGACCTATATGAAGTAGTTGATGAACAGTTAACAGATGATAAACTTTTAATCACTTCTGAACTGGGATGGATATGAATCTGTAAGCTAGCTCTTTTAATTAGTATAGGTTTTTCTTTCATCCTCTTACTATTCTGTATCTCTAGTTCATGTTTTGGGACCCTGTTGTGTTTGTCATCATGCAATAAACTTATATTTTTACTTGTCCCATTCTGTGCGCTGCCCTTGCACACTGAAGACTGGTTTAGTGCACTTGGACCAGGCATAGAGGCTGAGCTATTCAGAACCAAAGAGGACAATTTAATGCATTGCTGTGAATGGAAGGTGAAACAGGAATGGTCCCAACTCTACTTATTTTAATTTATAAAAACATGAAATAATCTAACCCTTCCTATGAGGAATCACTTGCAGTATAGTCATCCTAGAGGAAGGGATGCTTGATTTGATAGAGAAATAATCTAGTTCCCTTATTGAGATAAGTTACTCAACCTTGTAATTTACCCACTTATGAAACGGATTATTATCTCACAATCAGGACGTTTTTATTATTATCTACTGAGGGATAGCTCAGTGGTTTGAGCATTGGCCTACTAAACCCAGGGTTGTGCGTTCAATCCTTGAGGGGGCCATTTAGGGAACGGGGGTAAAAATCGGTCTGGGGATTGGTCCTGCTTTGAGCAGAGGGTTGGACTAGATGATCTCCTAAGGTCCCTTCCAACTCTGATATTCTGTGATTCCCAAATAAAGCACCTGTAATTAGCATGTATTTAAAACATTTTGCTTAGTAAGTGTCCTTGAAATGTACTTTTTCATATTGTCCATTACTGACTTTTGGTTTTGGTAACTAAAAAGATAAGAAAAATAGATGGTGGCAACATGGTCACCTTTTGGTTGGCTGGCTAAATTTATGGGAAATTGCACAGATTTGTGTTTTACTAAATGTTTACCTTGTACTCCTGTCATACAGAAAATAACAAAGAAGTATCTTAGTTAACAGTCTGTTTTGGCTTAAGTCATTTTAAATAAGTCAGGTTTCCATAGCTAAGTACAGGACACTTTCTGTATCTCAATAGTAGCAGCTATGTTAGTCTGTATCCGCAAAAAGAACAGGAGTACTGGTGGCACCTTAGAGACTAACAAATTTATTTGAGCATAAACTCACGAAAGCTTATGCTCAAATAAATTTGTTAGTCTCTAAGGTGCAACAAGTACTTCTGTTCTTTATATCTCAATAGTGTATAACTGTTTGTAAACCTATTAATTTTCTTCCTGTCTTGATAATGATTGATTATATTCAAAGCTTAATCTCTCATTTTAGTCCCATATATGACAAATCTGCAGTCTCTCAATACCTGTTGTATAATGAGAAGTGGAAATGTGTGTTCCTGCTGTAAATAAAAAAATGTAGCTAATAAAAGAACTGCCTAAGTAAAACTAACTTGTTTCCTACCTCAATTTCATCTCTAGGTCACAGGATTGTTACCAAGATTAAATGGGAAAGTTGATCTACTACTATTTAATCCACCGTATGTGGTAACCCCTTCTGAAGAGGTAGGGATCACTGAGATTTGAGGAGATGCAATTAAAAAAAAAAAACGTATGCAGCTCAGTGGATATGAAAAATTATTAATTTCTGATATGATAAATTGGTTTGTAATGTCCAGTTGTCAGACTACCGTGTCCTGAATTGTAGTTCTTTGAAAAAGTAGTGAGGGGTCATGTGGAGCCAATGGTGATAACAGAACTGTTTGCAGTAAATATGAATCACTCACCTTACTGCACTTTCTGCATAAGAGATAAAGGACACTAGTGACCACTGTTCCACAAAATATTGCTCCATCCTTGCCGGGGCAATTCTGTAAATCCATGTCTACACAGGGATACTTAGGAATCACTAAAGGTATGAAGTCAGGGCGCATAAATTAAAGCATCTTAATCCCCCATGTCAATGCTCCTATTCAGGAGTAAAGTGGTTTTAGTTCTCTAACTTTGATTAAGGGTTTGTCTACACTTAAAATACTGCAGTGGGGTAGCTGCACCGATGCAGGTGCACTGCTGTAGCACTTCAGTGAAGATGCTACCTACACCATAGGTACCCCAAGAGGCGGTAGCTATGTCAACAGGAGAAGCACTCCCACCGACATAGCGCTGTCTATCCCGGGGGTTAGGTCAGTATAACTACATCGCTCAGGTGTGTGGATTTTCCACGTCCCTTGAGCGACGTAGTTATACTGACATAAATTGCTAGTGTAGACAAAGTTACAATGAACTAATTCCACTTCATTCCTGAATGAGAGATCCACTTAGAGGTTTAACCATGCTTTAAATTATGTGCATTGACTTTACACCTTTATGATTTTCCTTAACTTTCCTGATTATCTGCATGTAGACAAGCCCTAAGAGATTTTCATTTAGATCTGTCAGATATTTCCCATTGGAATGATTTTCTGGTGAAAAATGCCTTTTTCACAAAATCAGAATTTTCAGGGATGAGTGTCTTGACTCGCCCCTCCCATGGGAGCTTGCCCAAAGGCTCTTTCTGCCTGCACGGAGAAACAGAAATTGACAAGAGCCATCCAGATGGGCAGTTGGCAAGCTGAAAAATTCTATTATGGTTCTCCCCAAATGGAATTTTTCAGAATTTCTGGCTTGTGAAAAATCTTGAGCGATTTACTTTTTTGTCCAAAATTGGGACTAATTTTTTCCAAAGCCTCAACATTTTCTATGGGACAGAAATTCCTTTTTCTGGACTGCTCTAATTTTCATCTTTCATTTGTATTCTTCAGGACTCTCGAGGCATGTCTACACTGCAATAAAACATGAACAGGTGGCCCATGTCAGCTGACTTGGGTCGCAGGGGTCAAGCTGCAGGGCTGTAAACTGGAGTGTATAAAACCGAGAAGGGGGAGGTTGCAAGAGCCCAGGCTCCTGCCTGAATCCAAACATCTACACTGCAGTTTTATAGCCCTGCATCCTGAGCCCCCCGAGCCCAAGCCAGCGGACATGGGCCAGCCGCAAATGTTTTATTGCAATGTAGACATATCCTTGGTGGAATTTATGTAAATACTTTCCGTATGCATCTAGAGGAAAGTATATGCTTTGAATGTTACAAAACGTGTCTATTTCCAAACAGCATCAACAAAGACCTTCTTTAAATCCAAACAGAGCTCATCTATTTGGAGGATAAGTCTGAAATTTGACTTGTATGCTGCATGAACTAAACTGCCATGTAGCAATTTTATGATTGAAATTATTTTAATTAAATAAGCTCCTTAGGATAGGGACTATGGTGATGCTCTTCCTAAAGTGTCATGAACATATATAGCACTCTATAGTCGTATGTAAACCATTAGTAAAAAAATTCATCTTCCTTTAATTTCTCCTAGGTAGAAAGCCATGGAATAGAGGCAGCCTGGGCTGGAGGCAAAAATGGCAGAGAAGTAATGGATAGACTTTTTCCTTTAGTGCCAGACCTGCTTTCAACAGGAGGATTATTCTATTTAGTTACAATTAAAGAGAACAACCCAGGTAATAGAATCCTTCTGTTTGCTAAACGATATGTTACTAATGCATACATGAAAACTATGAGCACAAGACTAAGGTGCTATAGCTAATCAGACATTGCCACTGGTACGCAAGAATGGGAAACTTTGAATTGAGTAATATCTCAGAGAAATGAGATGGCCTGTACATGGCAGTAGCAAGTCACACTTGGTTAATAACATTTATTAGTGTGGAAGCACTTTGGGCTAGATTCACAGGGAGGACTTAGTTGAGCATTGCAGCACCCAACTTTTAGGCACCCTTCTGCTAAGTTGGATTCATGATCCCAAGTTAGGCAGTCAGGTTCCCAATACAATGCACCGTGAGACTTAGGTGCCTAAAAAAGATTCTCAGAAGTCAGCATGCTAAACCAGCCAATAGGAAATGACAAGGAGAGGGGTGTGGCCTAAGCCCTGTCTCTCAAAGGAGTTACGTGCCTGACTCTGGCCTTGATGGAGGCATCTCCCTCTACTTGGAATTCATAGTAGTGAACCCTCTCCTGGAGTTGGGTACCTAAGCCAGGTCATCCCTTTTTGAAGAAAAACCAAGGTGATGGTGGTAGTGCCTCCTTGCATGCCCAATAGTCGAGTGGTTAGAGTATCACCCAGGATGTTGGAGGCACTGGTTCAAATCCCCACTCTGCTGGATTGGGAGCAGGGACTTGAACATGGGTCTCTCACTTCCCACCTGAGTGCCCTAACCACTGGACTTTAGAGATTCTCTCTTTTTCAATTAATAGTTAACTATTTTATACAAAGTGGAGAGGAGAGGAGGAGAGACTGAGAGAAGCCCACCCCAGACTAGCCCATTGCCCAACAGTTAAGGGACTGATGTGGGAAACCCACATTCAATTCCCTATTCCGCTGTAGGCAGAGTGGGGATTTGAACCCAGGTTTCCCACATCCTGTGTGAGTACTCTAACTATTGGGAGAAAAGTGTGTGGGAAGGGCAGCACTGCCTCTTCAACTGTGTCTTGTGCAGAGCCCAATCAAGTAGATGTGCTCTATGGCAGCCTCTGAGCATGTGTACTGGATTGCGCTCTGCAGGCGAGCTAAGTGAGGGAATGCTTTCTTTGTGAATCCTGCTCCGGCTTAGGCATGAGTTAGGTGCCAAGCTGCTTGGTGGTGTCAGGGCTGAGGCAGCTGAGTATGTGCCCATTGGCTGAAATTTAGGCACCTTGGGGACTTCACTAGTGAACACTGAGGTGCCTAGGGACTTTAGGCTACTACAAGGTTAGGTGGCAGCTGAGCCAGGGTATCAGGTTCTAAATTTGTGCTTAGACACTTTACATGACAGCTCCACTTGTGAATCCTACCCTTTCTGGCGGTTTTTACTGTAGGGTTTTCAAATTAATTTGTGTGCTGTATACACATCCTTCTATCATAGCTTCTGCCTTTATAAAACCTTTTATAAAACCTTCTTTGTTCAAGCCACTACTTACTTAGTATATACAGGAAAAAATACTGTCCATTACAACACTGACCCAAGTAGTATGGGAAATATGGGTTTCACCTGCTAAAGTGAAACTAACACTGAAGTGTAGAATTACTCCAGGGCACTCCCACGTTTGAACATTTTCAGACAGGGCTCAAATATCAGATTTGCAATTGTACTCCGCTGGAATTTTACCAAAAAAACCCCACATTTTTCCCCTACTGTTACTCACACCTTCTTGTCAGCTGTTTGAAATGGGCCATCCTGATTATCACTACAAAAGTTTTTTTTCTCCTGCTGATAATAGCCCACCTTAATTGATTAGTCTCATTATAGCTGGTATAGCAACGCCCATTTTTTCATGTTCTCTGTTTATATATAATCTTCCTACTGTATTTTCCACTGCATGCGTCCCATGAAGTGGGTTTTAGCCCACGAAAGCTTATGCCCAAATAAATTTGTTAGTCTCTAAGGTGCCACAAGTACTCCTCGTCCTTTTTATTAAGTACTTGAAACCTGAGTATACTGCTGAAACTTTTTTTAATTGAAGCAGTTAGTTAAGATAGGAATATTAAATCATTATACTATGATTCTAACTAATTTGCAGTTTCAGTATAACTCCACTTAACTCATTTTGGATTTTGTGTTAATATATAGAATATTAAAAGCATACACGCACTTAAACTTTGAGCACACTTTTTAATCTTAAACTTATTTACCAATTCAATTAAGTACTTAGTATATTTTTCAAAGACATTAAAATCCAACATTTCCACTCGTAGAAAGCCAAGTTCATTTGGTTTTGTTGGATGACTGCTTTAAAAATTGTTCTAATCACCTGAAGGAGCATGATGGATATTTTATGAGCCTATGTAATCTTTTGTTTTGTAATTTGCTTTTAGCAAATAAATCAGTTTAAGACAGGATGGGCTTTTTAGGTGGTGATTAACACAAACTGAACTGTAATGCTGTACATTTTTAATTACAGATGAAATTTTGGAAACAATGAAGAAATACGGTTTAAGAGGTACTAGAGTACTTTCTAGACAAGCAGGAAGAGAAACTCTCACAATTCTTAAATTCAGCAAGTCCTGATGACTGCTCTTAAATCTTTAAACGTCTTCAGCCATGGAAGTTAAACACAAATGGTGTTACAATGGTCAGGCTATTTTGTGACTATAAACGATAACAACAGATTTTGAAAAAAAAAATTATCCTGTCTCCTGATCTTTACAGGAAAATTAGCAAAACTTTCATTGTTGTTCCCTTAACCTGGCCATCAACCCACTGTGATCTGTAATGAGTGAGGGGGCAGTTGTTTCTGGACTTGGTTTTCTATGTAGCATAGTGGAACTGTAGCTGAAATGTAAACTTTAAAATGGACGGTCACACTTTAAAATGAGGAAATTCACTGGTATGTATTTTGTTTTATAACTGGAATATCTTTATGTGATCATACATTTAATAATTGTTAACCTTTGTCATTCATTATGGGTTCTCAAAACAGTGTTCTTGCTTTAGTACTTTGTCTTGTCTTATGGTACTTATTCTGTAGAGATATCTGGTTTAAATTAGTACTTAAGAAGCCACTGATCTTGAGGTTAGTGGCCTCAGTCTTATATTTTGCATTTGTTGCAGAATCACCAAAAGCCTAGTGCATCGAAACTAATTTTGCTCCCATAGTCGGAAAACTCTTGATCTTATCTTGCTACTGTATTATTGCTATGAATATTCCAACAGATGTACCCAATATGTCATCCAGAGTCTTTAAGCTAAATGCTATGGGTTAATAAACCATGTAAAAAGTTCAGTTCAATTTAATCAATTTTACAAAATTCTTTTAGGGTAGAGACTTTTTTTAGACTATAAAAAGGAAGGTTTAGTTAAAAAGTATTTTCAGTAGAGCCTAGCTGTCACAGTATAGAAAACTAACAGGTGACAGTTCTTTATGAAGCACGTCCATATATGACTATGGTATGATACCATTCTTATACTAACGCACCATAAAATGTATGGGATGGAGACTTGTATGGTCTGATTATCTCCCTATATTTAAGCTTCTTCGTTTTCAGTTTAAACCGATTTTTTTATGGAAAAATTCCTGGGTTTTACGAAAAGTATTATTCATTTTTTTTCTGATTTTCACCCTATTTTTGTATCATTCAAATATATAAAAAATAACTTGCTTTATTGGAAAATACATATATCTCATGCAATGTATTGTATTATGAAAATACATTAGTCTGTGTGTATATGCAAAGCTGCCTGTTGAAGTAAGGCTATGTATTAGTCAAGAAGATATAAACAAACAGGCACACACGCAAGCTCTGAAGTGTGTGTGCATCTGAACATACTGATGAATCTCACGTCCACCACATACACATTGCAAGCTGTTAGCAGATAACGGTTTAAAGATTTGACACACTAAAATGGGAAGAAAAAAATCTATATCAGAATACATTTCAGAACACAAGGAAGTATTTGAAAGTTTTTAAAAAAACAAAAACAGGAGAAAAGGATGAAGTTGAGGTTATGCGCTGCAAATGGTGTGGCCCAGTTATTAAAAGTAAATATTTATAGGCTAATAATTCCACGTCTGCAACAGTAAACTGTTTATTCAAATGAAAAGTTTTATTGTTTTCTTAAACTCACAGGTGTTTTGAGTTCTGTTTTAGTTCTGCCGCAAACCACATTGATGAACGAAATTCAAAGCAGTAATCTACTGAATACTTTTTCCCCTGACTTTCTGTCCACCACAATAAACCCCATTATTTACCCAGAAAAGTTATTAATAGTTTTTTGCACTGATTTTCACTTGCTTGTGTTGTTGTGGTAATACTTAGTTGCCAGGAAAAATTAAATAAAATAAAAACTGAAAACAAAGGGCTCTATTTATATTATATATTTAAGAATAGCAAGTTTTCTAGTCAATAATTTCCTTTCTGCTAGCGGAGTCTCCCACAATTCTGAGAAGTATGGGCTATTCCTCTCCTGCCTGCAGTTCAATGCTATAATGCTGCTCTTACTGATCATGCTCCCATCTCCAGCTTGCACCAAACTATTTATTCCAAATGTGTATAAAAACTCATAGAATGATGAGTAACAACAGTTTCAATGCCAGCCAGTAAACCTATGAACAGTAGGCTAAGTGGCCGACAAACTGTAGATATAAAAATTTAATTTTGTCCCTTTGCTACAAAGCCATCCAGAGAGGGTATAATTATGGGAGACACTACTAGCAGAAATGAAATTATTGGGTAAGAAAGGAAGGGGTAAGGTAGTAGAATGAGAGAAAGTCCTCCCCCAAAATTAATTATAAAAATGGCAAATTATTTCTGGATCACTGCATATAGTAAAAGAGGCCACCTTATAATGTCTAATCAAGGTTTTAATTGAAGACTATGTTGTTGCTCAGCAGATACCCTGAGTGGAAGCACAGTCTCTCTGTGCGCATGAAGATCCTGTGGAATGTGCCTTGATTCCATCAGGAACAGGTTTACCTGATGCCTTGTATGCCTCTACAATGCATAACTTGATCCTTCTGTCTAAAGACAGTTTGGAGACCTGTAGCCCTTTGGACTTGGGGTGAAAGTAGACAACCAAGGGGCCTGATCTTGTTGATTCATAGCACTCAAGATAGTTCTTTTGTGCTCTGCAAATATCCAAATTATGCCACAGATTTTCTGTAGGCTGCTGTGGGTTTGGATGGGAGGTTAGCCTCCTGTGAGTCATGGGAAGGTAAGTTTACTTTTGGCAAGAAAGGCTCTGGGGTCCTGAACACCACCACATCATCATGGAACATACACCAATGTTCATTCATGGATAATGTTGCTAACTCCGAGGCTCATCTCGCAGACATGATAGCAACCAAATACAGGTACAATGGTGTGACCAGTGTCAATGGTTCAAAAGGTTGAGTAGTCAGGGCTTTCAGCACTAGTGGTCGGTCCTGTTTAGGAAATATTGGTCTGATCGCAGCACTGGCCAGTTGACTGCTCGGAGAAATCTGGATACTTGAGGATTGTCTGCCAAGGAACCCAAGGACACTGCGTGTAAGATCCTACTTATGGTTGACACCTGGCGTGCTATGGTGCTGGGCTGGAATCCCTTGTCTATGCTGTCCTGAAGAAAGTCCAGAATAGCTGGGATATTAGGTCCCTGGGGGTTTTGTTGTTTTCCTGACACTACTACCTCCTGTACAGATGGAGGAGTAAGCCTTTAGTATTGAAATATGTGTGGAGGAGAGGAGTCTCGCAATCACTTTGGTCCAAACATGATTGTTTCCTTCTCAATAGCCATGCTGTCAGTTGTGAACTGTCTGCATCTGGATAGAGATGAGGACCTTAATGAAGGATATCCGGTCTCTCTGATGAATGCAGTATGGGGATCCTAATGCCAAGTCTACCAGATCTGAAAACCATGGTTTCCTTGGCCAGTGTGGAGCTAAAACTGTCACCATTGCTTCTGCTCACTTTATCTTCTGAATCACCTTTCCAAGTAGTGGGAAGTGGCGGGAATGCGTAAAGCAGGTTTTGTAGCCATCTGTGAGAGAGTATCCATCCCCAGCAACCTGGCATTTGCTTCCTTTGGTGAAGTACTTCAACAGCTTTCTGTTTTTGCAACTGGGAAACAGGTCAACTGCTTGGATGCTGCGTTTGTCAGTTCAGATTGAAGTTTTCCTGGTTGAAACCACGTTCTGAGTTGCTGACTGTGCATCTGCTGAGCCAGTCTGCCTCCAGGTTCAATTGTCCCTTTGTGTATATTGCTCTTATGGAAAAGAGGTTTTTTTCTGCCCCTTCCATTATCTCCATTGCATATATGAGTAGAATTGAGCTCCAACTTCTCCCTTGGTTGTTAAGATATGCCACGGTGATAGTGTCATCTGACTAGATCAAAATGTAGATGCCCTTGAGGTGGCTCTGAAAACTTTATAGGGCTAGCTTGACATCTCTGAGCTCCTGGAAATTGATGCTCTGATTCCTTTCTATGGAGCTCCAAGTGCCTTGTGCTGTTCTGTGTTCCAGATGGACTTATAATAATATATGAAGATATACCTATCTCATAGAACTGGAAGGGACCCCAAAAGGTCATCAAGTCCAGCCCCCTGCCTTCACTAGCAGGACCAAGTACTGATTTTTGCCCCAGATCCCTAAGTGGCCCCCTCAAGGATTGAACTCACAACCCTGGGTTTAGCAGGCCAATGCTCAAACCACTGAGCTATCCCTCCTCCCTCATTTGGCATGAGTACCCATGGGTCTGGAAGGTACGTGGGTAAACTCTTTCAGATGTTCCTTGGGATTACCCACCATCTGAGGGAGTCCAGTACCTGGCTTGGGACCCGCACCTGATCCTGCATTCCAGTGAATGGTTCCATACTGCCAGGAGACACCTGATGTGGGAACTTGCCCAAGGAGTAATTACTATATGTGAAAACAGCAGGCCCAGTATATGCAGACACTGAGCTATAGCTGACCTTGTGTTTCTTATCAACATACTGTACATGTTAAGTTCTGTATTTTCTGGAATCTGTCCACTGATGTGTAGACTTTTGCCATAGAAGTGCCTGTGTCCACTCCTAGTTGAGCTATCCTTGTGGTATTTCATTGATGTTTATCATGAAACTGTTCTTAAAGCAGTCTGTGTCTGGATTGTGGTCCTGTGAGCGGCTACTTTGGACAGAGCTTTGATCAAAACGTCATCCAGGAACGGAATCAAGTGAGTGCCCCAAGTCTAGCTATGCCCACCACCAGCACCTTGGTAAAGACAAGGACAAATGGCGGAGTTTTGTGTTGGTAGTAGTCTGTTGTCTTCTTTTTCGTCTTTACCTTGCCCCATCAATTGGGGACAGCAGCTCTTGTTCTTTGCTAGCACTTTTGTCAAGTGCATCTTCCAACCTGATGCCAGCCTTCCTGTCCTCCTTCAACGTCTCAAACCACGTTTTTCTAGGTCTTCCTTGTGGTCTTTCTCCTGTGACTACGTGGTCTTGTACTCTCTGGCCAACATATCTCAGATCTAGTCTCAAATGACCCAGAGATCTCAGTTGATACTCCCTCAGCTTTTCTGTGATGGGGGCTACCTGAATCATGCCTCATGCTGTTTCATTGCATAGCCTATCAGCTCTCCTTTTACCCAGCATGCAACTGAGCATTCTCATTTTGGCAATGTGAAGTAGTTTTTG